GGTTCCCCCCCCCCAGCAGGACTCAGACTCAGCTTGCAATCCACCCATCCCTCCCTTTTTTCTAGGGGGAGGTAAAACACCATGTTTTTAATAGGGACTTAGGACTTGCTCCTTGGTACCAAAAGCTTGCCGATGTTCCTCCCCTCCCTCCCTCCCTTACCTATGAACTCTTCTGCCAGCTGGGAAATCAGTAGAGATAAATGCTTGCTCAGCATTTGAAATCCCCTGACAAACCAAACCCAAATGTTCTCTCCCAGTGCTGCCCACCTGCAATTCATCTCCAGACATGGGGAACTGGAGGAGCCCAATAATTCTCCCCCTCCCCCAGATTCTGAGCCTCATGACCTGTTACCTCCAGGATCTTCCTGCCACTGCATGCTCAAACTTCATGACAGACCGGGTTCCGAAGGCAGATCCGAACAACTGAGGATCCATTTGCCCTTTTGCCTGGCCCTCTAGTGGGTTTTGGACTACAGCTCCCATTTGCCCCAGCTGGCACAGCCAATGATCGGAAGCTGTAGAACCATCCCAAAACAGCTGCTACCAGCAGCAAACACACTATACTTTAAAAACAACAACCACCTTTTAAATGTCACTCGACTTCACAGCAAAATCCCCCCCTCATCTGCCCTCCTTGGGGGGAGAGTTTGAACTCCCAGGTGTTTCATTTTACAGTTGTTCTGTTAACTTTTACATATGACCCTTCTCTTCTCCCCCCCTCCTCTTTTTTCCAAAGAGGTCTGTGTAAACTAATGGGGAAAATATTGCATTCCCCATCATCGGAGACAAGTGACAAACCGATCCCATTATTTTTCTTGAAAACTTATGTCTCTCACTCCCAGCGCACACTTCTTCTGCATTCCTGAACAAAATGGAATGATTTTATTACCCGTGTTCCGCTTGAGTTCCAGGATCTCATCAGCTTCCAAAATGCTACCACACAGCCTCCTCGGGAACATAGATTAACCTGTCTCAGACTTCAACTGGAGTCATGAATACATTTCTTTTAGCAAACACGGGATTTTAAGGCTTTTTGGTGAAAGATCGACCGTCTTTAAGCAAGGTGGAGGTTATTCTTAAAGAAAACAAGACTAACCCAAGGTTCCACCGTCTTTCCACACAGCGTGCAGTAGCAAATCTAGGCTTGCCTTAAAGCCCAAGTCTAATTCTTACCTCCAATTAGAGTAGACCCACTGACTCGACAGCTTTAACAGTGAGCGAGGCACAGTATCCCCCCAAAAACAGTGTCACCTTGCATTTGACCCACCTCTGGATGCAAGTGTTTGAGTGAAACTGATTCCAGCTCAGATCCTCTCCTTGTTGTGACCGTGGGCTCTGGCAAGCTGTGAATGGGTCACCCAAGGATCTGTCAAGCTGGTATGAATCTTCCGAAGTTTTCCTCCACAGTCGCTAAGGAAGAATCTATGGGAGATTTAGCCAGACCAATGTGGTCTTTACTCCTTAGGCTACAGAGGAGAAGGCCATATCTGTCCATTTCTGCAGAATCCGCTAGACTAGGCCACCTATGTCATTATATATATATATTTCCCCCATTTAGACCATCGTTCTGCGATCGCAATTGTGATTGCAAAAAGATTGTCGTAAAGCAGATTCGTTGTAATGCGGGGCAATCGTTAAGCAAGGCACCACTGTATTATTGGATGGCTGGAGAATGCAGTTCAGATATTTCAACTCCTTCCTTCAACACCAAACCAAACTCTCAGCTATTTGATGTGACCAGAGGCCCTGCCGAAGGAGGAACAGCATGGAGCTGCCTTGATGTCTTCCCGATGGGGCCACAAAGCCAGTTTTGGCTGTTTTGGATAAGATCTTCAATGGAAAAAAAATCGAAGACGGTGGAGTGAGATGGTGGCCAAATCAGACTTCTAATGGAAGGTTTTGGCTTGACAAAAAAAATGTTGAGGAAACAGAAGGTGTGAACAACTCGGGTTGGCTAAATTTGCTCTTCCTTGAGAAAACAGTTCATATGCCCATCACATTGTGCGTGTCAATCCCAAAGACTTCTGTGTTTGCTTTCTTCCTTTAGTAAACGATCATGAAAAGCAAGTCAAACTATAACCCAGAGTGTTGCTACTTGGGCCTGAAATGGCAAAAAGAAGAAAACCTAGGAAAACATTGGCAGTTTTAATTAAAATTTAGCATTGTGGATTGAAGCAAGCGGGCACAATTGAGATAATGTTGTAATAACCTTTTCTCATATTAAATATAGCGTCAATACTGTTGAACAGAGAGGAAGCGTTTGCTGTAGCCATTATCTCCTCCCCGGTAGAGATGTGAGAGCCCTGTTCTAGCCAGAAAGGCTTATTTAAATAATATTGAGTCACTTCATTCACTTTTTAATCACCCTTCGGCTGAAAATGGGCGACGGCCACCAGAAAAGCAGAACAATACGGCGAAGGAAAAAAAATCAAATAAAAATAATAATTTTTTGAAAAAAAGAGAATTCCCTGCAATTAAAAGTAGGAGGTAAAACTCAAAACTTTAAAACAGAAAAAAAGCTGGTGGAACAAAAAGGTCACCTATGGGCTCGTGACTAGAGGGAGTGCTCCCTCAAGCAGCAAAATGGGTGCAATTGTGAACACATATTTAAAGGAGAAGCAGGATTATTTCTGGAATGTAAACAATGGCTTGCTTTGCACATGTAAATTCTGCAGTTGTATATATTAAAGGAAATCACATTTCCCTCTTATGAAGAGAAAGACAAGGGCATGTTGGCCCAGGGTCCTTGTGAAAGGAGCTCTACAAAGAAACAATATTTAGCTTATCAACCAAATAACCAAACATTTGAATAAAAGAAAAACACTATGGTTTTACTCACCTATGTATCTTGCATTTAGCATGCATTCACCTGCAATTGGTCACAGCCATTTCTGATACAGGGCTTATCACGCAATTCTGATCAGGCATGAGGAAATCTCACTATTAGGATAAGAAAAATGGGGGATTCTCATTCCCCTTAAAATCTAGTTTGATCTTTCTTCTGTGGATTAAACCTTAAGAGTGGAGGACTCCCAATTCAATACAAGAAACAGTGGCCGGTTCTGGCTTCTATGAAATAGAGGCTACATCAGCCGGTGGTGCTTTAGTGCTCTCTGGTGGAACAATGGTGATGTTAAAACTTCGCCTTCCAAAGCAGCAACCTTGAAGTCATAAACAAGCTTTTTGCCATGATAAATGTGAGTCCGATACCTCAGGCAAATGGTGATAATGCATCAAGGAGTGAACAAACAAGCTTTTCAGCCATGATAAATGTAACTCCGTCTCCGATACTTCAGCCAAATGGTGATAATGCATCAAGGAGTGAACCAACTGCTACGACGAGTGTTCCTTAAGGATGTAACCCAGACGAGCTGAGTGTTTCACATGTAACTCCCAGCTAGCCATGATTAAATATTATAATATTTGGCAAAGAGTCTGAAGGCAGTGCGCTTCCACTTCCCTATCCCTACAAACCTGGTTTGTGTCAAACCATGGTTCGTGGGAAACCATGGTTTGTGGGAAACCATGGTTTTGTGTCAAACCATGGTTTGTGGGAAACCATGGTTTGTGGGAAACCCTGGTTTTGTGTCAAACCATGGTTTGTGGGAAACCATGGTTTGTGGCAAACCATGGTTTGTCCTTTCATCTTGATCAAACATCCTATTTCAATCTTGGTCACAGTCAGGGAGAAATCATCATACCTTTAGCCATACCATTAAATGTCCTGAAACTGGAATGGTTTGCTGGTAGGTATCTCCTCATCATACCTTTAGCCAAACCATTAAATGTCCTGGAACTGGAATGGTTTGCTGGTAGGTATCTCCCTTGGCTAGCCAGTGTGGTGTAGTGGACAGCGCGTGAGACAAGGATGCAGGAGACTTGGGTTCAAATCCCTGTTGAGCCATGGAAAACTCACTGGGGGAGTGAAACTGGTAAAAATTATCCTTAAATGTCTCACTTACCCCGAGAGCCCTGTCAGGGTCACGATACGTTGGTTGTGACTTCACAGCATATAACAGCAATAAGAAGTCTTTCTTAATAATGCTGCTTAATAGACAACATCTAGATTTTATTTGCAGCAGTAAGACTACCTTTATTTTTAAGGTGATTGCTGGCAGAATGTAAGAGTGGATTGGAGAAATACTGGCCCTATTCCTAAATTCAGGAGGACTGAAAAGAGGAGGAGACGAGTCAAATGAAATCACCCTACAGAGGTTTCGTCTGCATTTTGGAATCCAGAACTCCAGAGTTTTGGCACATCTCTGCTCCCCCTCCTCCTCGATGTGCTCTGATCTTAATTAGCAGGTTTGCCCTCTGAGCCCAAAAAGGCCTTCGGAGACGGGCGCTCTATCCCAAACCAGGAACTCATTGTGACCCACTGATTCCAGACCTCTCCCCCCTTGAAGGCTGGTTAGGACTCAGAACAGCTGCGACTTGAACGAGTCCAAAAGGCAAAAAGAAGTTAGTGCCTAGATTTCGAACTCGTGATGCTCCTGAGCGGTGGCAAAAAACACCATCCAAGCCAGCTGCAATTTATGTACGAATTCACTCTTACATCCTTCCGCTCGGCTATTCCCAGACGAAGCCTTACTCATCTTCGATAACCAGTGACAAGTCGCTGATTTAAGAGCAGACTCCAAACCAGAGAGGCAGGCGCTGATTTTTATGAGCACAGGCAAGGCAAAACTACAGCATTGGTAGTGTTTGATGCTTCCTAGACCTCTCTAGGGTGGTGCCCATGTAGGTAGCTGGAGGAACCCAGGAAGCAACAGCCCCGCCCATCATCACAGTCCCCGATGCATCCCTCTGCTTTCATATTTGGCCTCTTTTCAGGCTGAAGGAGGTGAATTACCATTCTTGGAAGCTATGAGAGTTGTTTCACCTTTCAAACAGGCTAAGAGTTTGTGTGTGTGCGTGTTTTGCACCATCCAACATCAATATTTTTAAGAAAAACAAAGGTATATTGCCAGCCATAATCAGAACCCTTTTTCTTTCTTCCTTTCCTTTTTAAAATTATTATTATTTAATAAAGAAATTTTTGGCAGGCCACACAGCTTCTGGAAAGACCCACGGCAAGAAAGTGCCCCCCCTCCCCAGCCTCACTGGAGTTTTCGTGCCAGGAGGTCTTTCGGAGAACAGCCAACGGCAGGCTCGGTCGAGGGACAGTCTGCCTTCGAGCAAGCTGCGGCCAGCTCACCTGGACCCCGGAGGCTCCTCCTCTTCCTCGGCCTTCCCCATCATCAAGGCGGCGGCGTGGTCCCGCAGCTGACTCCAGCACTCGGGCATCTGGCTGCTGATTGTGGCGAGCTGCTCCAAGCTGGCAACGAGACAAAGACAGAGAAGCCGTCTCCCTGGGCTCTCCATGACAGGGCCTCTTCAGTCATGCTTCGTTCGCTCCTCGCCAGATGGCCGGGCGCTGAGGAGCCACTCAAGATGGGGCTCCTCCATGCTGTAAATAACGCTCAGCGTTTATAGGGCAGGTTTGCCAAGCATGCCGCTCGGCTCTTCGGCATTTTCCGGACGTTCTGACTGAAGTCAGGAAAGCAGTGGGAACGAACAATCCAAAAGGCGAGGTGTCTGCTCCTTGAGAAGATCCACGTGGTGGCATCTCAGAAGCTTTGCATGGACTGGTCCTCTCCTGCATCAGCCCCAGCCTCAGATCATTCTTCCCAACCTGAGGTGAGCTAAGCTCTGGAGGGAGACCCTAGAGCAGAGAAATCCTGATTCTCCAAGCGGTTGTGGAGCCTGGCAGTGGTTGCAGTTCAGCAACTCCTGGAGGGACACACAACGCTCATCCTAGCAGAAAAGGCCTCAGGGATCATCCCTACCATTTTAGTGTCCTATGGCTCCCAGAGCCAAACCTTAATGAGCCAAGACAGTGGAGGTCTACCTGGGCTACTCACCAGTTCAAGCGGTGATGGAGCCCAACTCCTTCCAAATCATCCATGTTGGCAATGACTCAGAACGACCTTCCCTTTGGCCTAAATTGGTGGCTGACAAAATGGCGCCGTCCTTGCGGTGGTTGACAGAAAGTTTGGACCTGCCACGGCTCCCTCAACCCATCCCTTCCCCGCCCCCCATTTTGGTGGATCTTAGGGGGCAGAGACCTTAGGCTGACAGGCCTGGAGATCTGTTGGCAAAAGGATGCTCTGGAGAGGCCTCCGATCATTTCTGCCAGAGGAGGCTTTATTTCCTACAAGCCGCAGAGTTATCTATCTACCTTCCGCAAGCGCCACCTCTAATGGAGCCAGGTGTGCAGGTTTTGAGCTGTGGACCAACTTCTTTGTGTGCACGCATAAGAAGTGGAGGACGGGTGGAATGGACCACAACACCAGAATCCCTCAGCCTGCCTAGTCCGTAATCAGGCTAGCCTGTGGAATTTGGGAACGGTTAGGCTTTCCCTCAAGGTAGAGTGAGATGAGATGAAGGACAGAACTGTTTCACAGCTAAAAGAATATGGAAACCGGAGTTCCTTCCCTGATCCATAATTTTTCCACTTCTAAATAGCCACCTTTCCGGCACCCACTTTTCCCGTCGTGATTTTCCCGAAGCCTCCTCAAATCCCGCAGAAGGAAAAGCTGAGAAGGTGGTTTTGACTGGACAAACCATGAGCAGGAAAGAATTCAAGATCAACCGCTTGGCACCTCTTTCCCTTCCCTGGGGGGCTGTTGTTTCCATCACCCTTTCAGAAAGAACTGGCTTTTTGTTTTATTTTGAGGAAGGAAGAAGCTGGGGGGGGCAGGAGTGATTTCTCCCCATTTGCCATTTTTAATTTGTTTTTACTGTCCGGCACTTTGAAGAGGTGAACAGAATAGGCATATAAACAAAGCAGTTATTTTTTTCCAAAGGGGGGGGGGAACCCACAGATTCATCTCTTATAAAGATCATGCGTAGTAGTTTCATAGCTCACTGTTGCATTGACATCTGGTGGACTATGAGAGAAACGCACGGCCAGAGAACAAACTGCTGGGGATAAATGTAATAATCCAGGATTTTCCAAGGATTGAGGAGTAGATTCACCTGGAGAGATGGCTACTCTCTCCCTTAGTCTTCTGCTGTCCCTCCACCCCCAATACCACTTGGTTCATTTTTAAGATCTTCAAGACAGGCCCTGCCCTTGATGGTTTCCTCTGATGAAAAGCATAAAAGAATGATTTTTTTTAAGGGGGTAGGGGGCTGCTCCTTTCTAAGCGACCATCATCATCATCATCTTAGAATTGCAGAGCTGGAAGAGACCCTCTGGATCAGTGAGCCCAGCCACTGACAAACAGGCCCCGTGGAGGAATCGAACCCCCAACCTCTGGCAAGGGGGTAGGGGGCTGCTCCTTTGTAAGTGACCATCATCATCATCATCTTAGAATTGCAGAGCTGGAAGAGACCCTCTGGATCAGTGAGCCCAGCCCCTGACAAGGAAGCCCCATGGAGGAATCGAACCCCCAACCTCTGGCTCCACAGTCAAATGTCTAACCCACTGAGCTATCCACCCTCATCTGTGATTGCTTTTCTGCCAGCAGGCAAAGATTTTCCAGTGAAGCATTTTTTTTTTTAAGTAACTAAATGGAACGGGGAGAAAAGAGGATTTTTTTTAAAAAAAGATGCTGAACTTCTGTTGGCTTTTTTAAAAAAATCTTTTTAAGGGTTTTCCAGTTTCTGGCATTTTATTATTATTAAATGCTGAATTGCACTGGAATATTGTAAATTATGTATCTTTTTTTTTTAAAAAAAACATTTTAATATTCTACCTGCATGGGGAGAAAGGGAGGGCAGAACAGGAAGAGGAAATAAATAGAATGTTTACTAAACTCTTGAGCATCATGTCTTTGGGAGACTGCTTATGTAGCGCAAAGTCTGGTATTTGATAGCCCTTTCTGGGGAACCTTTATACCAATAAAGTGTTTGCTCTTCCTATGAGACCTTGTGAGCATAATTCAGAAAAGGAGAGGGCCAGCAAACATGACAGGACTTTTTGTTTGATCAGCTGGCTGCTCAGTTCTTTGCAAGCCAGAGAGGGGGGATCTCGGGAGAGAGTCTCCTCACTCCACCAACGAAGCCACCGCTGACTTCCCCCCCTCTCCAAATCAGAGGAATAAAGCTGACCGGACAATCCCTGATCTTTTCAGATTTGAAAGACTTACTTGTCACTTAGGAAAACATCACAGCGCCTGTCCCAGGGGAGATCTGCCGAGGGATCCTGCGAATGCTCAGCTTTGGATGCTAATGACTCTAGAGGTGGACAGGACATCAAATCAAAAAGCACGAGGGGCTCCGTTTCTGCCTTTGCACCCCCGGACCGGTCTTCCCCTGCACGTAGAAAGAAAAGAACAGGCTGATAGGTTGGCTGTGGAGCCAAAGGTTCGGAGTTCGATTCCCCCACTGTGCATCCCAGGAGAAGAGCCAGCCTAAGCAGCCTTGGGCCAGCTGCAGAGTCCCAGGACATCCCCCTTGAGGAAGGGAATGGTAATACACTTCAGAGTATTCTCTAATACAGTGGTGTCTCGCTTGATGATGTTAATTCGTTCCAGCAAAATCGCTGTAGAGCGAAATCGTCAAAAAAAAAAAAAAACCATTGAAACGCATTGAAAACCATTCAATGTGTTCCAATGGGCTGAATACCTGCTCGTCCAGCGAAGATCCTCCATACGACGGCCATTTTTTGTTGCCTGCAATGCGAGGAATCTGTCCCTAACACAGCGAGGAGCCATTTTCTTCAGCCAGTGGTCATTTTAAAACCTGACAATCAGCTGTTTGCTGATCATCGTAAAGCGAAAAATTGGTTCCCGAAGCAGGGAAACGATCATCGCTAAGTGAAAAAAACCCATCTAAACATCGTGAAGCGATCGCAAAAGTGATCGCAAAATCTTCAACATTAAGCGGATTCGTCGTAGAGCAGGGTAATCGTCCAGCGGGGCACGCCTGTACTCATCAGTCAAAATCGACTTGATGGCACACACAAAGGATCATCTTAGAATCATGAAATTGGAAGGGGTTTCTAAGGCCATCGGGTCCAAACCCCCTGCTCAAGGCAGGAATCCAAATCAAAGGATATCTGCCGGGGGGGGGGAGAAAGAAGACCCCAAAGAACAGAGAGATGTGAGAGCCAAAGTGACAGACATCATCAAGACTAGAGTTTGTTGCATACAATTTCTCTTTCCCACCTTTCCCGGATTGTCATGGACGGAGAACATCCTACCTCGGAGGACCAGGCACTGCCCACTGGCATCCACAGAAAAGACAGGCTGCCAAGGAGACCCGACTTTGTATGAGGGGGGCATGATGAACTGGCAAACGTTCTCTTCCGTGGCAGCATCCATGAGGTTGACGGTACCGTCCCAGAAGAAAATCAGGACCTGGAACAATGAAACGCTCATACTCGTACTCGTTCCAACGCTACAGTTGAAACTAATAGCACCTAATTTCTTGGAAGAGATCAGGATGTGGGCCTGGCATCCTTCCCTGGCAGGTTAGAATTTCCATGGTGGCCGGAGCACAGCTTGGAAATGTTAGTTTTTTGGACGATGTCTTCCACACCCGCAAGAAGTCTTACTAAAAGTTATCTCCAAGCGTGTCGCCTTCCGTTGCCTGTCCAGGGAAGACGGTACCTTCTTGACTCATTATACCTTTGCACCCTGTTTCTCTGGTGTTCAAACACCACCGGAGATCTTGTAGGAAAGAATCTGAGCCCACTTACTGCATCAGGCAAGGTGGGGATAGGAGCCACTGCGCTGATCATCTCGCTAGGCACTTCGGGCCTGAAAAAAGAAAAGCCAGCTTATGTTGCTGGCAGTGCATTTCTTTACCATATATATAGTACGTTTGTATGTGTGTGTGTATATATATAAATGTGCATGTGTATGTACACACACATAGACACACAGAGTGTGTGCGTATACACACAAACATATCTCTAGCTATATATCTCTCTATATATAATTGAGAGCAGAGAGGCAGATTTTAATTTGGGTAGAAGGAGTCTTTCTGATGGAAAACAAGACGGGGGTGATGAGATGATAAGGAGAGAGAGGAGGAACGCTAATCTGCAGAAGTGTTTCTTTGATTGCTTTCCAATAGAGGCATCTTACAGAGTCACTGTGCTTGCTCTATTTTTTTTAAACTTTTTTTAACCCTGCCTTTAAAAGAAAGAAAAAAGCAGTGATGTTCAAAGTTTTGCCTCCGTTTCATTTTTTTTTAAGGAATGCATTACAAATCCTTGTTTTTCAGGGCAAAATACTGTGAAGGTGCCAGGACTTTTGTTAGAAGCTTCCAAACCACCTTGTAGATGACCTAAGAATTCAGTCTTCTACAAGGTCACGAGCAGTCCCAGTTCAAAATCCGATTCAGAAAATCTGTGTATGCAAGGACAATCTTTCGGCATCTTTTCCCCTCTCACGGGTTATTCCTTGTGCAATCAGTCACACAACCAGTTATGTGCCTGATTTCACAACTGGTTGTGCAACGGCAGGAAAATACTTTTGCCTTTCCATGATCACGCCAGTGAGCAAGATTTTCATCATGGAGTTTAAACCCCAGACCACGCTCAGAAAAAAATTAAAAATAAAGCACTTTTTTCAATGGCAAATCTCTTGCGGAAGTAAACATCCTTTGGATTGCAGAATCTGGCCACAGAGTTCCTCCTTGTCTGAACCTTCCAAACCCTACCATGCAAGGATTAGGGCACCCGTCTGAACTCTCAGGCTTATCTCACCTGCCTCCCAAGAGTTTGGTATCAAATCCTTTAGCCTCCGGTGTGATCAGGTGGAGGGTCCCATCCAGGATCAACACCAGAAGCTGCACTGGGTCATTACGGGGACAAAGTGATTTCTTTTGAAATGGCGAGGAACACGGCATGAACTGGATGCTTCGTATAACAGAGCCATCTGGAAGCACCGTCACAGATAAGGGACACCCTAGGAAAGCACAAACAGTGCAGGCTAATGGGAAGAACAGGAGCTCCCTTGAGCTAAGGATGTGCACTGGCCTCCCGACCCAGTCAACGCCTGACGGAGAGGCTGGTGGAAAGAAAGCTCACCCAGAAACACATCCCAAACGGTAATGGTCCCATCTTCACAAGCGAAAGCCAGGTATGAAGAGCAAGGCGTGATAGCTGAGCATGCAATCGGGGCAGCACACGGCCAAACAATGTCTGGTTTCGGATCAGAATCTAGAAGGATGGACGATCTTATTAATGATGGGGTTGTAGGAAAGGACAGGACAGTGTGATGATCTCCAAAGAGTTCACTGGCACAAGGGAGTGACTGCTCAACCAGATCTGTTAAGTTTCTCGAACAGTGGTTCCCAACCTTTGACCCAGTATGTTCTTGGTCTACAACTCCCAGAAGCCTTCACCCCCAGCTGTGCTGGCCATGATTTCTGGGAGCTGCAGTCCAAAAACATCAGGACTGGGTGGATATTGTACAGCTTTGTGCCTTGTGTTCAGCCTACCGAGGCCTCTTGTTTGGGCCAATGTGGTGGAGAGGGATGGTGGAAACCAGGGAAGGGGTGGTCCCCTGAACATCTCCGTCTTCCCACCTGCATCTTAATTGTTTGAAGCATCTTGAAGCGTGGTAGCTTCAGACAATGGGGCATCTCCTCTCTGGGGACTGAAAGCAGCTCCTCTCTCACCCACCAATCTGAAACCCAAACCCATCTCTAACTGCTTGGCATCCCCTGGACCACTTTACTGCTTGCCTGGTCATAAGGCCCTCTCTTGTTCAAAATGCAGATAAATGAGTTTCGAACCCAGAAGGAGGCCCTGGGCTCTGTGTTTCTCTATCCTCGCTCTACAGAGAGCGTCTTCCTTAAGAGTGTCTCCTGGGGTGGTTTCACAAGGTGGTTCCAAAAATGCTAAGACCACCTCAGGGGGTGATTGGTGAGAGCATCTCCATCAGCATCAGATTACCTAATTTCTCCCTTGGTGGACGACTGAGAAGATAAAAACAGAGGTGGTGGCTCTTGCTCCAGTGAACGCTGAAGGCTGATGCAACGGGGACCTCTGAAGAAAGGGGTCAATAGGAAGCGATTAAAGATGGAAGAGATGGAGACACCAGCGGCTCACTAGGCACAAACCGAGGAAGCCCTGAATCAGGAGTAAAAACATCTCCTCAATGCCAGCCCCCGTCACACTCCCTTCCAGGAGGCCTGGCTTTCTTTTGTTTGGGGCAATGGAACGACCAACCCGCCATAGGAACTTCGGCCACGCGACAATGTGCCACACGCAGAGGCAGGATTCACCTGGCTCGGTTTTGGCTTCGGCCCCGGCAGGCAAGGTGCGTCCAGGTAGGTGGAAATGAAACATGGCGTGGCTGAAATGGGGTGGGGGATAGGGGGAAGAGGGAGATCGGAATTTGTTAAACATGAGTTTCAAAAACCTTGAGAAAGCCACGAACACCAGCAGTGCGCCCCGCACTAGACGGTTATAGCAGGTTGGTTCCTATTTACCTGCTACAGCTCCATCACACAGCATCCAGGAAAGTGTAGTTTGGAGTTGGGGGGGGAGGTAGAATCCTTTGTACTAACTAAGTAACTATAACTAATTAACTTTACCTAACTACAACTAACTACAACTTACTTTTTTTATTTAGTTTTGTATGCCACCCTCCTCCAGTGCACACACTCTCTGGGGGATCTGCGGAACTCTTGATGTGTCACTAAACTACATCTCTCAGGACTCCTTAGGATGGCCAGTTACTGCAGGATGAGACCTGCTACCGCTATAGGGTGTATGGACCCACTCTGGGATGGGTTATGAAAGGACACTGCTCTTCATTTTTATTCATTTAACCCCGAGTCCAATAGTTAGTCCTAGCTAGAGTGGGCCCATTGAAATACAGTTAGAGTCCCCGTATCCGTGGATTCACTTAACCACTGTCTGAAATTTTTAAAAAAATCTCAGAAATACAGTGGTCCCTGCATGATGACAATAATCCATTCCAGGAAAATCACTGTACAGCAAAATCATCATCATGTGGGGAAAAAATCCCCATTGGAATGCACTGAAAACCATTTAATGCATTCCAATGGGGAAATACCTCGTTGTCCAGCAAAGATCACCCATAGAAAACCGCCAATCAGCTGTTTTAAATCGCTGTCTTGTGAAGCTTCTGTCCGGAAAACACCCATTTTGCGAAGGGAAGCCATTTTAAGGAGCTGGAAAAATCGTCGTTTTGCGAACAAACACAAAAAAGTCAGTCCTGTGGATTTGTTGTACAGCGGGGTCATCGTCTAGCGGGGTACCACTGTATGTATTTATATGTATTTCCAGGCGTTATTTACCAGAATTGGCCACTAGAGAGAGCGCCAGCAATCATGCAGTGTATACTATCTGATACTTCTGCCTTTTTGGCGAGCCACCGTGGGGGTGGGGGCTTGGAACTGATTCCCCACAAATACCATGGTATCTGAATGGTTGGGTTTACCCTGTTTGGAACTCACAATCAGCCGTAGTACTTAAGAGTATTGATACATCCCATTTGAGGGGTGTGTGTGTGGAATCACAAGGGCTGTTTCCAATTCAAATAAACACAGTTGACCACTATCAAAAAAGGACATAAAACTTAAATTGCAGATGGGCCTGACAGCAAACTTATTCATTTTCACCTCCAACAGAGAGAAATGAATTTGGCAGAACAACCAGGCTGGCAGACAGAAATGAACAGGACAGGTATTTCCCAACCTGGATTTTTCTTCTTTGCTCTCCTCATCGCTCTCTGCTTCCAGATACTGCCGGAAAGTGCTCTTAAAAATCGCCTCCTGGTGTTCCCAGTGGCAGTCCTTGATCATGGGATTGTACCCCAAGCCCAGGATGCTGCCATCATCACTCTTCATCAAGGCTTCAAAAGGATTCTTAAAGACGCTTCCTGCATTTGCAGACAGGAGACACAGTTTAGAAACCCCCACCCCAAGTCCCCATTTAATTCTAGTCTCTCCTATTTGGGGTCCACAATTTTTAAGAATTCCAGGGATGGGCCTGGAGAAGTCAGGGGTTTTAGGTCTCCGGTTGGGGAGCAAAGGGTTGAGAGTTTGATTCCCCCCACTGGGCCTCCTGGACTACATAAATCCAAATCAAACTGTTATCAACAAGACACGCATTCAAAAATGTTAGAAAAACAGGAGAGTGGGAAGTGCTGACCTGCAAGTGGTTTGGGGGGCCTGACTTTCAACAGCAGAAGAGGTGGCACCAGTTTTGATTCAACTCTGCTTAGGAACTGTTGCAAATCCTGCAAGGAAAGAGAGGAGGAGCAATGCTCTCAGAGTTCTGTCATTCCTGCTACCCGATGAGATCTTCAGACCCAGCCAAGCTCTGGTGAGATGGATGCCTCCTAGTCAAACTTTTCCCTCTTACACCGTTTTTTGCCGATCAAGAGGCTATTTTGACCCGAAGTGAGCAAGAGCCTGGAACGCCACCCAGTTCATTCATCTAAATCTAAACTAGAACATCCATTCGAAGAAAAGGGTTATTCCTGCCTTTACAACGTCTTCTCTCCAGTGTGATCTCCTTTCTTATGTGTGCTTCCAGAATAAGACTTGAAAAAGAAATCCACATCCCAGAGATAACCCAGATGATACAGATACTTCACGTGTTTTTCACAGTTTCACCTTTTTCATAACTTGAGAGAGCACTCCTTCTAGAAACGGATTTCTCTGAATGTGTGTTTGGGGCCTACAGTTCACCAGTGAAAGACTTCGAAGGAGTGCTGGG